TCTCTCTCTCTCTCTCTCTCTCTCTCTCTCTCTCTCTCTCTCTCTCTCTCTCTCTCTCTCTCTCTCTCTCCCGCACGCGTGCGCGAGCGCGAGCGCGCTTGAGAGAGACAGCGAGACAGAGGGAGCGTGCGCACCCCCTCACACTGCCGCACGTGCGGTTTCTTTTGTTTGTTTCTTGAATCAATCAATCAATCAATCCCTTCTTTTTCTTTTTGCTTGTTTTAATGTTTTTTTTTTTTTTAAAATCTAAGTAAGCTTAGTAAAGACCCAAAAACCTTCTTTTGTGCTCTACAACCCCCCCTTTTATGATTTTCACAGCAATGGTTGCGATCCTTGCCACCCGTTCTGCTGGCCCGTCACCTCCCAGCAAGCCATAGTCTCCAGTACTTGCCAGGGCATCCAAATCAGATCGCCTTTCAGTCCTGCTGTGGCCTACAGTCTGATGAGGATTGGTCTGAAGTCCACCATCTGCACAATGCCAATTGGGTCAGCCCATTCCTCCTCCTCCTTCGTCAGGTCTCCCGCCACATAGGCCCTTGTTGGCAGCTCCTCAGACATCTGCCCCTCCAAGGCCTCCCCTGAGAATCAGCTATCTTCTGCTGTAACGAATTTGAGTGAGCGGTGTATGGCCACCTCCGAATCAGAATGTTTGTCATTCCACTGGTAATGGAGAATGGTTCTGCGCCTGGGTCCGCTTCTGGCGTCCAGCTTGGCTGCCGCCTCGATTTCCTTCTGTGACCTTCCGCTATTTTCTGCAGGTTGATGGTGGCTTCACCGAGCTCTCAGTTGTGATCTCAAACAAATTCACTTGAGCCTCCAGGATCGCCGCTTGCCTCCAAAAATCCTCCCCTGGGTCCTCCTACATTTCCTGCTGTGCTTGATCTTGCTCTTCCGTGCTTCCGTTGCCATAATCTAGCTGAGATTTGCATTTTCTGCCGCTCCGCTTCGTGTCCTCTGACAGGTAAGACTTTGGCCACTCAAAATGCCTGGTGTACTCCACGTCCTGTATGTGAATATCATTGTTACGGTGTTGCACTTTCCATCCATATTAAGCAGCGTAAAAATTTGTTGATTTCCTGTTCCTTCCTCAATACTTCGAATCTGTTTCCAGATGTAATGTCTTCTACTGCCGTAGTCGCATGCCGCAGATTGCGGAGGTGCTTGTGGTGAGCCAGGCGTATTCACATTCCGTACCCATCTTTCCAGTGTATCCTCATCTCCTCCTCCTCTTCATCCTCCTACCCCTCTCCTTCTGATTCCTTCTCTCTCCTCCTCTGATTTGCAAGGAACATGAATATGGACGAAGCAGAGAAATCCAGATTGCAAATTCACACTGAAGTCCAAGTAGTCAAAGCAAGAGCAGATAGCACAATGGAACCGAGTAACCATCCATTTGAGAACGATACAGAAGAATCGTGAGTCAATGTCCAAGCCCAACAGGGCAACACCAACAGCATAACCCAATGTAGCTCTCTCTCCTGAATGGCGCCAGGTGCCCTATCTACTCTACAGCCTAAGCCTACAACTACAGAAATGAAAGCAACCAGACAACTTGACGACCAGCGAGTGATGATGTCAACACCAATGCTGACCTCCCACCTCCACCAGGTACGTCTCTCTCTTCTCCCTCACTCTCCCTTGTTATCCCACACAGCGCCCTTCACCTCCGAAGAACCACCTTCGCCCTCACCTCCCCTGCGCCCTCAGGCAGCCCGGCTATGGCTGCCAGCGCCCTGTGTACAGGCAGCRCCCTACCGCCTAGCGCCTGCCTGTCTCTCACCTCAGCCTAGCGCAGCGCAGCAGCTTGCATTAGCGCAGCGTGCCGGCATTGCCCGCAATGGCCAAGATCCCTGCCCACTCGCCCTGCTTGCCTATATATGCCAGTGTTGCATGTGGGCGGCCTCCCTTCAGCCTGCGTCTGGGCCCCAGTGCCTGAACCCAGGCCCGATGCAGTTGAGGCCCGAAAGGATGCAGTTGCGCCTCTTTCGTCAAGGCCTGCGGCCAGATTCAGATAGTGGGCCGATTTCCCTTTGGCATTTTTGGCCTCTCTACCCAGCATGCATTGTCGGCCTCTCGTTCAAGTGCCCAGGGCCTAACTAACTCAGAGGCCCTGGGATTTCCACATTTGCAGAGATCCGAGACTCGGTGCACTCCAACCAACTGGCGTGCTGCAACTGTATGGACCCCACTTCGTGAAATGTTTGCACAGAGGGCTCTTGTTGATTTGCTGGCCCGCCTTCACTTAGGGCGGGCACTAGGCTTGCTGGGGCCTTAGCCCAGAACATGTTCATCATGGCAAGGCCCCTTCCTGAGGGCTCAATCCTCACAGATTGGACATTCGGGCTGGAATTATTTGTGGAATCTGCATCCCGTTCTGTCATTTCCACTTCCTGCCTCCTGCACCCTCTGCTGTCCTCCCCACCTGTTTGGCCCGCACCCTTCTGATATTTCCATTACATTCCCCATGTGGCTGCTTGCCCCTTCTCCCTCTTGCTGCTGCTCCATTGACTTAGATTGTGCAGCATGGGCCTCTCGGGTTCTCCCCTTTGTACTGCCTTGCTCGGACTGCAGAGTTCATTTTCCACCTCTCCTCCTCCTGATCTGCACCTCCTGACTGTGCCTTCCGCTTGAGTGAAGTGGGAGCACTGGTACTCTCTTCTTCCACCCCTTCACAATCCCATACTGTCCCCCTGCTCCCCTTCTTGGACTCTCCTTCCGCGCCTCCGCCCTCAAGTTCTCCATGAAAGCTGTCTCAGCCATCTGGCCCACTTTGTGTAACTCTTCCATTGCCAACAATCGTTGTTTGTCATCTTTTTCTCTTTTTTTTCTTTTCTAATAATCTTTTCTTTTTTTAAAAACAAAACAGGCCCTGGCTCCATTTCCATTCTGGGGAGCATCAGTCCGGTTTCTATTCAAACCGGCGAGTCAGAATAAAATATTACATCATGAAACACACTCACGCTTCCTTCCGTCTGGCCGAAGGAACCCTGACCAATAAGTAGTGTAGTTCCGTCGATCATTGGCTTGGTCAGAAAACCTATGTCCTCATCTCCCATCTGCTTTGCCCCAGTCTGTCTCCACCTGCTGTCATAAGGCGGGTAAATATCTGAATTCATGGTTGGTGGTTCCCTGCGCCTTGGACTCTCCAGATTGTCATCGAAAATCCAACCCTGATATTGAGCCGAGTTTATGTCTACAGACTCCCGGTTCGTCATCGCATTCTACTAACATTGACTGACGCAGTGAAGTTTTCTTACTGCCTTTCCCCGACTGGGGTAGTGCATCCCCAAATGACCACTCCCCCTGCATTTAAAGCAGAATGGATTGGCTTTTTGTCGACACAAAGATGGTAATCCGATGTCGGTTCTTTTGAAAGATCCACACCTCCCTGAATTATTTTTTTGTTTTTGGTTTCCGCGTGCGTCAAACCGCAAGCACACGGCCCCAGCCTTGCAGAGAGTTTTTGTCGCCACAAGCAAAACTCGGACGGGCCGGCCGGCGTGGAGCGCCGCTGAGGGAAAAAAAATTGGCAGCCTCCGAAGTGGTGCGGGTTTCATGCTGACACCCGTGGGCCTATGTGTGGTGTACTGGTGCTTTAGTTAACGGTCTCTCTTCCCTTGTTCCTCAACCTCGAAAGCTGTGCATGTGATAGTGGGCCTTGCTCCACTACTTACCAGATGCACAAAAGACAAAAAATATGGCATCTTATCTTTCCCTGTTCTAGCGGAAGATTCATTCTCATCTTTCAAATTTGGTGAGTAGTGGAGCGAGGCCCACTATCACAAAGGCATACTGATCATTTCCTCCACATGGACGAATGCAAAGGCCGTCAAATTCCCGTCAATGCAAGAGAGGCAAAACACAATAGGAGCATTCTGACCAGGTACATGTGCAAGGGAAAGAAAAAAATATATGGCCCTGGTAAGTTCGGAATTTCCCTGTTAGGGAAGAGACCACACCTGCCAGAGCCAAACACCTCTGAACACATCCTCGGAGAGCGATAGCCTGTGTCGCTTAGGGGAGGGGAAAGAAATGTACAGTCCTCGTAGCATCAGAAACAGCGCTACTAGTATCAGAAACCACCCGAAGAGTGAATAGTCCTAGGAAGGCAATAGCAAGTGTAGTTTAGGATAGACAATACGATATGCAAAATGTGTCTGGCTTCATAACGCGATATGGACCGGCAGGCAGGTGCTGCACAGGTCTGGCCCTGCCATACATCCGGCTACATAATATAGGTATGAACTGCGCAGCTGGGGTATAGTTCTAAGAGAATAACATCAACATGACATGAATCTGAGGCAAATGCGGACCAGGTTCAAGCTGTTCTCTCACAATTAGAGCTGGATGGCCTCCCCTTAGACTGATGTGAGATCTAGAGCATGATAACATACATTCCATGCAACCCAGTGGAAGGAATTGCTGCCAGATCTCAGCTGGAAGGCAATACAATCATGACATCTTTATTTAACATGCATGGAAGTGAGATCGTGACAAAAAGGAAAGGATAGCACAAACCGATAGCGAAAGTGGGGCAATGAGCTAGGAAAGTAGGCAAGAGAGAAGAGAGAGCAATGCTTTATCATAGAGAGAAGTGCAGATAGTAGAGGAAGCAGTGCTATAGTAGAAAAGCTGGAACATCCCAAAAGACATCTCCAGGAACGAAAGTATATATCCAAGTTCTCTTTGAAAAAGAATGAAAGCCTCCTTGCACTCACATTCCTATCACTCTCTTTCCCCTTGAGCCCCAGCTACAGACCATCTCCCTTTTCCAATGTCAGAAGGGAAGGGAAGGGACTGCAAGGGAACACAAGGGAAGGGAGTGGGACGGAACGGAAGAGAAGGAACAGAACGGAACGGGACCGGACGTGATGTGACCGAATTAAATGGGATGGAACAGAACAGAGCAGAGCGGAATGGAATGCAACCGAACAGAAAGGAAGGGAAGGGAAAGAAAAGGAAACCAAGGGAACACAAGGAAGGAAGGGAAAGGAAAGGGGACGGGAAGGAACGGAACATGACGGAACGCGATGGAACGGGACGGGACAGAGCGGAACAGAGCTGAACAGAAGGGAAGGGAAGGGAAGGGAAGGGAGAGGGAAGGGAGAGGGAAGGGAGAGGGAAGGAATGGGAGAATAAGGAGAAGGACGGAGGGAGAGCAGGTGGGCAGCTGCTGGGCAAGAAGGCAGGGAAGAGGGAGGGAGGGAAGGAGCAAGGAAATAGGGAAGTGAAGGCACATCGGAGGGAGGGATGGCTAGACCACCAACCATTAATGCTGAGCCTGGATGGAATATAACCAGTGAGAGATCTTCGCGGGCCCCGTTCATAGGGCGTTGCCGGAATCTCCTTGTGAGTCTGAATGAACGCAATAGCATCCATGGATCAATCAAATGGAGTCAGTAATCTCTATAATTTTCAAATAATTGTTTCACTTAGTTCAAAAGTTTTATTGGAATGAAGCAGGTAAGACTGGGAACCCCCACTCTGACCCCAGAGGTTGAGTCACATCCTTGCTTGTCATGTGTGTCCCTACCTTCTTCACCCGAATACAACGTACGGTGATTATAGTTGTATGTATTTGCGGTATCTTTCCGTCTAAATACAGGAATAATGACCATACGTTGTATTCGGGTGAAGAAGGTAGTGGACCCTGTCCCTCCACCAGGTTCATATCGATGACTGGGCATTGGACCCAATCGGCCCACTTGCCATGCCCAGGGCTTCAAATAGACAGATAGATAGATGGCAGAACAGTCGTACAGATGGACAGACGAACAGACGGACAGAAGGACAGAAAAACAGACAGACAGATGGGCAGATGGACAGGCAAACAGACAAAATAGGTTGACAGGCATGTAGACGAACAGACAGACAAATAGATGGATAGGCATGAATGACAGACAGACAGACAGACATATGGACAGACAGATAGACAAACGGATGAACCGGCGGACAGGCAAGACAACCTCCGACAAGACCTGACAAACCTGGGGAGCTGTGCAGCAGGTAATACGATTCTCCCTGCGCTTTCTTTGTTTTTCTTTTCTTTTCTTTTCTTTTTTGGACTCGTTGATGATCCACTTCTGTTCCACTTTACCTTTTTCACATTCTCTTGATCTTTCAATAGTACCAATACCCTTTTTCTTAACCTGTCTTTATTTCCCTTCACTCACTTTCCTTCATGGCTGTTCTGCCTTGCCCTAAATTCTCTTCCTATTGCCGTAAAAAACACTCACTAAGCTCTTGTTGGGCTCTGGCGGGATTCAAGGCTGAGACCTTGCCCAAGTACAAGCCTACTATAAGGTATATATTGTCACATTGTGAATCAGAGCGCAAAAAAGGGGAAAGAAAAAAGGAAAAGGAAAAAAGGGGGAGGGGGAAGAGGTAAGGAAAGCTCCACCTGTTCATAACCTCTTACGTACAAGGCCAGCCACGTGGTTGACAGGTTGAGCGCTGGCTGCCCCCATCCCCATGTGTCACAAGGACCCACTTGCACGCAGCCAAAAGGCAAAGAGGTAAAGAAGGGGAGGAAACCAAACCTGACAGGGAAAGAAAGATAGGGAAAGAAAGATAATCCAAT